CAGTGGTAGAGAGCTTGCCTCCTATAAGTGAGGCACTGTGTTCAATCCTCATCATCACATAAAAATAAACAAAATAAAGATAGATATTGTGTCCATCTTTTTAAAAAAGTGGGAAGGGGTCTGCTGGAGAGCAACAATAAGTGCAACTGACCCTCCCCAAAGGAACCTCCTTTCTGACTTGACTTTTTGTTAATGACAGACAAGCCCTGAGCTGGTGGAAGTGAACAACTACCCAGGTATTTGACTGACCACTGTCAAGTCCTTGTCCTATGCACAACTGCAGCTGATGCTGCCCTGGTACACAAACAGGCAGCAGCCCTAGATTGGGTACAGATGGGGCCATACTGGGGTAGAGATGGGGCCCCCAAGCCCAGGTGAACTAGTTATCAATGGCCCCACTCCTGGATTCTCATCAGAAGGAGTTACTGGGACTTAGCACCAAAGCTTCTGCAAATGCAACAGGGCTTGTCCATCAAATGACTGCTACCTTGGAGGCATGACTAGCCATGGAAGCACAATCTAACCACCAATTATGCAATTGCCAGAGAAGCTGGCACAGCTCTCCTGGTTACCAGGGAAACCATCATGCCCCACTGGTTTGTGTTCCAATGACAGCTACAGTAGCCCAGCCTCTGTACTCTCACTGCCCTGGAAGAAGGACAGATGGTTGGCTTGGTAAGGTAGAGATTGGGGGCTGCTGATTCATCTAGCTGGGTTATAATGAATGCTGCCACTGCTCCTGAGGTCCCATCAGACTTTCAGCCCTGCCACTACCACATAAGCCAAGGGGCTGTCAATCAAGCAGCTACTTCTTCAGTGGTCCAACCCAGCTGTCATCAGGATGGCTGCAGGCTCAGCTGTCCTGAAGTGGCTCCAGGAGATGTGACTTCAGCTACAGCAGCTTTAGACAACCTACAGTCAGTCACCCAGGAAGGAGGTCTCCAACCTGTAGCCACTTTGGATGCCTTCCACCCACCTTCAGCTGCCCCCATTCTGGCAGAAAAGGAGCACCTCCCCAGCCCACAACAGCCAGAACAGGTGAGCCATAATACACCTATGCAGGCTGGCCTGACTAAGCAGAAAGCCTGAGTTTAGTCAACAGGAGACTGTGCATGTGTATTAACCTATCCCTGTTTGGCTAAAAAGCAAACTTCCTCATCAGGCCAGTCTGAAACCTGTGTCCTGTTTATAGACCTCCTATGCTGGAATATAGTTTCCAATAAAGACTTGTTGGGATGGTTCTACTACGGTGCATGATTTCTATTTGGGGTAAAAAATAGATGAGCTGCTTGCATTAAAAGCTGATAACAAGATCTACTAGCCCTATAGAATGCCTAACAGCCAGAGAGCTGCTTAAAACTCTAGAGAGCAATGGAGAGCTGTGGAGGAGGTGAGAAAAAGCAGCTAGAAGCCGCTAGCTCTGATCACTAGATATGCTCCTGAAAGCTGCCAGGGGCAGCTGGCTGGGACAGCTATTAACACCTTGAGGATAAGATTACACTAAGGGTAAAGGGATGCTGGCACTCAGAGCTGGTAACACTAAGATGCACTTTACCTTTTCATGATTTCTATCCAAACCAAGCAAAAGAACCCCTGACTGATTGGTAACTGTAGCATTCAGCATCAATTCCCAACTCCTTCTGTGCGCCTCCTTATATGAGACTTAAAGTCTAAATCATCATTTCCTAGACTTCCTTGCTAAGTGAATTGTGAATTTGATTTGTTATTTGTCTTTCCTTAACAGAATGCCATTTCTTTCTCTTGCTTTATTATATTAACAGTACTATATTGAATAGTTACTGTCGTTACTATTACAAGTGACCACCCTTGCTTTGCACCTAATGTTAGGTGAAAGCATTAGTCTTTTACCAATAATTACAATATTAGCTACAGTTTTACATAGATCTCTTGATATATCAAGTTGACAAAGCTCCTATTTCTAAGTTTGTGAGAGTTTGCCTTCTATTCCTATCTTTCTAAGCTTTTATCATGAATTGATAGTGAGTATTGTTATATGCCTTTTTCTGTGCATTTATGAAGATGACCATATGGTTTTTTAAAATTCTGTTGTTCATTCTGTTAATATTTTGAACTACAATTTTCAAATACTGAACCAATCTTTCACTTATAAAATAAATGGCACTTACCCACGATGGATTATCCTTTTCATATTAATGAAATTGAGCATTCAGAATGTTTTCATTCATTTCCAGAAGTTTGTAGTATATAACTAATGAGACTAAGCATTAGGATGTTTTCTTTCATTATTGGGAATTTGGCAATGAACAAGATGGCCTTTAGGAAACTACCCAGCCTCTAGCTTACACAATGTGTAACATGTAAATAATTGGTGACAGAAATAGCCTGAGGAAAAACTGATCTCTGTTTTTGAGATCTGAAGAACTTAAAAACATTTCATGACTAGGCAAGAAGGATCAGATAGCAAGTATCTGGCCCACCCTCTATGGGAAGATACCTATAAAGCACCTGCAAAAAGCACTCTAAATCAGCTTCTATACAGATGGGCTTTGTGACAAGTCTTATATCTTCTCCTTTAGCTGACTTTCGAAATAAATTCGCCTTCCTTGCCTTAACACTTTGTCTCTTGACTTAACTACCCTGCTGTTAGGTGAGCAGCTAGACTTAGTTTAGTAACATTAATTGTATTCAATTTACTAGTATTTTATTAAATAACATCTTTTTTTGTATCAGGGTAATACTGATCTTCTAAAATAACGTCATGTTCTCTCCCTTCCATTTTTTGAAGAGTTTGTGCTTAACTAGTATCAGAGGTGGGCAGAATTTACCAGTTAAGCCATGTAAGCTTAGAGCTTTCTTTGTAGGAGTGTTTTAAAGTACAAGTTCAACTTCCTTAATAGAGACTTATCCATGTTTTCTTGACAGCAATTTGAAAGTCTGTATCTTTTTTTTTCTCCCAATAATTTTTAGTTGTACATGGACCTTTATTTTATTTATTTATATGTGGTGCTGAGAATCGAACTCAGTGCCTCACACATGCTAGGCAAGAGCTCTACCACTGAGGCACCACCCCAGTCCCGGAATTGTGTGTCTTTGATGGAATCTGCCCATTTATCTAAGTTATCAAATGTATTACAAGATAATATCCCTTTATTGTCCTTTTAATATCTATAGAATCTGTAGTGATGTGTCACTTTCTTTTCTGGTAATAGGAATTTCTGTTTTCTGTTTCTTTGTTCCTTATTAGTCTGATTAGAGGCTTATCAATTTTACTCTGTATCAAATAACCAGTTTGGTTTCATATCTTTTTTTTAAAAAACTCCTCCTTTTTAAAATATAATTTTTAGTTATAGATGAACACAATATCTTGATTTTATTTATTTTTATGTGGTGCCGAGGATCGAACCCAGCGTCTCGCATGTGCGAGGCGAGCACTCTACCACTAAACCACAATCTCATCCCCTTATTTATTTATTTTCATGTGGTGCTGAGGATCGAATCCAGTGCCTCACACTGGAAAGTGCTCTACCACTGAGCTATAACACCAGCCCCTCATTGAATGTTTTTAAATCCACATTTTTTGTTGCTGTTTTCCATTTCATTGACTTTACTCTCTGTCAGTTCCTTCCTCTTCTTTTTCTGGGTCTAACTTGTTCTTTAGTTTCTAGTTTCTTAAGGTAAAAGCTTAGATAACTGCTTCAAACCTTTTGTTTTCTAATATGAGCATTTAACACTATAAATTTCACCTAAGAGTAGTCCTTTAGGTGTATCTATCAGATTGATATGCTGTGTTTTCATTTTTATTTTTTTTATTCCTTTATGACTTATTCTTTGGCCTATGAGTTTTCAGAATATGATGATTATTTAGAAATACTTGGGGATTTCCCAATTATCTGAATCAGATTTCTAGCTTAATTCTACTGTAGTCAGAGAACACAGATATATTCCTTAAAAAAATTACCTCTAAAAAGAAAGAATAGAAATCAAACTCAATTTTCCTATGTTAAATAACTATAATGACATGCCCAAATTAGAGTCATTCAGCTTCTTGTGTGGCATCCTTTCTACTATCATGTTTTTTCTCAATACTGTCTCAAAACAAGACTTGTTATTCGCTCCCTTCACTTCAAAAAGAAAAGAAAAAAATTTAATGTATTCCACATGTAGCATCTCATTTGATTTCTACAACTCTATATGTAGGCAAGACAAATGATATTATTTTGCATATGGAGAAGTTGGAGCTGAAGGGAATGACTTGCCCTACTATTCTCAAATGTCTCATTACTCCTCAATTCTCAAAGATGGAGCAATATAGCTGAGTGTGGATGTGCACACCTGTAATCCAGTGACTTGGGAGATAAGGGTGAAGAATCCCAAGTCCAAAGCCAGGGTCAGCAATTTATCAAGGCCTTAATCAACTTGATGAGACCTCATCTCAAAATAAAGAATAAGAAAAGGCTTGGGATGTTGCTCAGTGGTTAAGCACCCTGGGTTCAATTCCTGGTACAATAAATAAATACAATAAATACAATAATATAGATCAATGAAATCCACAAATAATTAAAATATCTCATTTTAGCTATAGTTGGAATTACCACAACCTCAGTTCAGAGTGAATTATAGTAATATTGACTAGTTTGTTTTTAAACCTCGACTTCTTAAACAGATTCATTATTAGCAAGATTCAGACAACAAAGAATTGGCTAAACTGCAAAAAATAAAAAGCAAACTAACAAAGAACATAGGGAAGTAAATAAGAGCCATAAAAAATTAACATGAAATAAATATATAATAATATAATAAATAAATATATCAAGTTATATGTTTTCTCTTTTAATGTCCTAATTATCACTTAGGATAAAGAGTTCTAAAATATAATCTGTTATTATATTAAAATATGTTAAAATTGAATAGTAAATATTCAAAAACATTATTTTATGCTATCCTATTTCCAACTAAATTTCTAAACTATAATGTTATAGAAATGAAATGGCTTTAAAGGTAAAGACACGCATTCTTACCATGTAATTGTTGACTTACAAGTTGCAGAGATTCCCTCAGTTAGCAGCATCACTTTGGCTGAGATATCAGTAGTAACAGCAACCAAAATTAAAACTAAAGGAAAAAAAAATAAAAACAAAATTAAATGCCAATAGCCAAAAGCTTTCAAGTCTTCCAAAAAGTCTTAAGTTTAAATTTCATATTTCAATAATTTTAACGAGAGTCTTAATCCCAGAACCCATTCTTTTCTAATTGGTTTAAGCAAGAAGCTGATATGGTATATGAATTCCCATACAATTTCAACTCCCTATCCTGGAATAAACTCTGAAATTAACTTTAGGGACTCATAGTTAATAAGAGCTAAAGGTATATTATAGGTACGTTCAACTGAACCACTCAATTTGTTTATTCAACCAAAACATGCATTTTAAGGTTTGTTACTGCCTACAGAATCCATTAAATATTGATCACTGATGGAAGACTTGCACCTGGTGAGAGTCTTTGTAGTAATTTTTCCCACAATAAGATTTAAACTTAATGAACATCTTGGGGATCATATCATAAATATTTAATAGTAACCTAAGGATAAAGTAGTAGTAAAGATTTTATACCTGCTGAATGAACCCAATAAAATATTTCCAGGATACTGTATATTAGCAACCAGGCTAAGCAGCAATCTGGCAAAAAGTGTTTAACTATGTGCTGTAGTATTATATAATGAACAGTAAAATGTGGTTTTCTACTCAGAGTTATAGTTTACTTGGAATGAATACAAATAAGAAAAATGTAGTGAATAGGCATTAATTCATTCAGCAAAACTTTATCAAGCATCTTGTATAAGTCAGCCCCTTTAAACACTGAACACAAAAAACTGAAAAGAAAATAACTGACAGGGGGCTGAGATTGTGGCTCAGCGGTAGAGTGCTTGCCTAGCATGTGCAAGGCACGGGCTTCGATCCTCAGCACCACATAAAAATAAATAAATAAAATAAAAATATTTTTTTAAAAAATAAAAAAACCTGACAGATACATGCAAGCAATTTTAATGTTATAAGGTAAATGCGAAAAAGTTATAACATGACAGCCTAAGAATAATGTATTGTAATATGTCAAATAATTTCAGAGAATCTAAGGATAGGGAGGATTGAAGTTTGGGAAAGGCAGGCCAGGCAAGAAAAAGTAGAAACTGCCATTTCCATGGGCGGGGGGGAAGAGCCTAATACACTCCTGAGTCTACTAAATAATTATAAGAATTATTTATAGTTCAACAGATTTTGAGAACATACTTCAGACTGCCACTATCCTTTCAAAAGTATCTTGATAATTCAGAATGACCATTTATTCAGTTTTATTCTGTTTTACATGTATCCTACTTTGCTTATTTAAAATCAAAAGCATCACAGCTTTCTTTCTCATCCTTAGGAGCAGCTGTACAGCATGCTCTTGATTACACAGAGTAAAAGAAAAAAGTGAGCTTTTCCCTAAGTAATCTGCATTAAATCATCACCTTATTTATAAATACAGAATAATACTCAGTCTTAGATTACTCAGGCCTCATTTGTCTTCCATCAATCAGATGATCTGATTTGAAGATTCTGAAAGTAACCAGCGCTATAAGCCCTATTAAAACCTATTTTAGAGATGGTTTTATCTAGCTAATGTGGTTACAACTAGCTAATATTTTCTAAGAGTGAGGAAAGTGTCCAACACCGGGTCTGTTTTCTGGATGTTTAGGAATTCTTCCATTTGTGTGAAAGTCTACAGAATTATTACTTTTGTTATTAGCCATTATTTGGTAAATGCTGTAGTCAGGATCAATCATAATACTAATATTTCACATACATTTAACTTAAGTCTTGAGAGGCAAGTTCTTCCATTAAAAATGAAGAACTTGAGGAACAGAAGGTGATTTTACCCAGTATCACACAGCCGGGGGAAAAAGAAGTGTCAGGACAAGTTTGTCCAACTAGAGTAACTGTTTTTAACTATACTGGGCTGTCTCCTTTTGGATAAATAAAGATGCTCCCCTCCCCTTTCTTATCCAGCTGCTAACATACCTAAGTCAAGCACCACAAAGGTCTTGAAGAATTTAACTTCCCTTTTTAAGTGTGTAGCCTCATTGACAAGTGATAAGCATCAGTCCTTTGAAGTTATAGATCAAGGCTATAAAGTATGAAACACAACATCTCTACTAAGAGGTGCAATACTGCCAGCTCAGAGGTGCATGTTTTGATGAAACACCATCATTCCAATTCTGTTCACATTTGTGGTTTAATCTCTATATTGTACTGGCAGTGCCCCCCTATGGAACAAGAACACACCTGCCCTGTAATTTCCAAATTGGTCTTGTGTTTGTGATGCTCTATCAGACAATAATGCCCACCTCCCTTCTAGCTATTTGTTGATTAGAAGAATGAATGAAGGAACAAACTTATCTTTATGGAAAGCCTCCCTCAAAAATCCCACCAAAGATGTACTTATATTTTCTGCACAATGCTATCAACTAACCCTAACCTTAAATCATAATTTAGGGAACAACTATAGACCAAAGCCAAGCCAGGATAATTAACTACCTGCTTAAAAGTTGTTTTTTTTTTTTTTTTCTAAAAATAAGGTGGAAGGAGGACCAGACAGTTTGTAGTAATAACATGAGTTCAGGAAATTTCAATTGCATTACAGACTATTCACCTCCAAAACATAGAAATTACTTTCTGGTTATGTTTCACTGCACAGTGACACAAAAGGCAACTGAATTTTTCTCATTAAATATTTAATTTTGTTCTAGAAGGCATTTTACAAGGTCAAGGATGATAAGGTTTTCCCTAGTAATAAGCCCATAGTCCTACTTATTCACTATTTTAGAGTCAATATGAAATAAAGAATCTTTTTTTGTGAAAACGTTTAACCTGAGAATTGGTTGTGTCAAAATGACTGTTAATCTGCAGATATTCTTCTAATCTGATTGTATTTGGATTTGTTTACTATTTTGGTCCTTGCCATCTCTCTTACACCTTTGAATTTTCCAGAAATCAGAAGCTAGCACATACAGAGTTTACACAGGCTCTCTACAGAAAGACTATTCCGTACTTCATTCCCTAGCACCACCTCTTTAACCAGGCTCAAATTCTACATTCTCTTCAAACCCTAACTATTCACACATTAAATTCTATTTACTTACAAGACTCTCAAACTGTATAGAACATGTAGCCACTATGAGCTTCAGAGAAACATATTTCATTAAAATGTTAAATACAAAATTTTGGTATAAAGCATATGAGTAGCACAAATAACAGCAATTCCCCCACCCCACCCCTCTTTGATTATCTTAGATTCACCAATCAAAAAAGGCCCAGTTTAATTGAGCTGGCATGATAAAATAAAGTTCCTTCGGTTTTAACTCTATAGGGAAAGTAACTGAACAATCAACCCATTCTTCCATTCTTATTTCTATAGTCATCAACCCTCATTTGTCCATAAGACTGGCTGTACAATGAAATGTTGCCTGAATCTAGAATCACAAATAAAATCCAGTTAGATCTTTTAATATGTTATAATTCTGCCCTTTGAAACCAGCTTCCTACTATGCTGCAGAATATAGCCATGATTCTCTCAAAGATGAAGATACCACACAGACCTGAGTGTGTGAAGTGTGAGGTCAGGGACAGGCATGCAGAGACTGATTCCATCTGCAATAAACAAGAAAGATCTAAAATTTGCATGTGGAACAGTGACACCAAGAAACTGATTTCTGTCTTTTCATATGCATAGATTATGCAAAGTTAATGTAAAGATAAATGCTCATCACCATGTAAATACAGTGCTATCAAATGACAGATGCAGAGCTTGCTCTTAAAATAGTGCTTGTATTGTCCATCCATCCCAAGGAAATGCACAGGCCCATATATTTGACTGAAGCAATGTCACATAGTGAAAGAGACTGAGAACCATACACCCCATGTACTGAGGCTCCCCTCCACAATAGCCCATCTACTTCTGCTTGAACACTGTGGAGGCAGAGGAAGTTCATGATCTGTAGCCACAGTCATTAAACGTCACTATCTGAAATAAGGCTTCTTTGTACTCAGTAAAAGCCTACATCCTTATAACTTAAAACCAGCACTTCCTGGTCTCCCAGAGTCTGTGGAGCCCTACAAATTTACCAGTTTCCTGGGATCTGAGGCAGGACTGAAGGTGCCCAGTGCTCTCCAGCTGGTCCCATAAGATGCTGCTCAGAGCCACACTTACCACACAGGCCTGCAGGAAAAGCCCTCACCCTTCTCAGTCTCTCTCTGCCCTGACCCATCTCTCCTTCAGTGAATGTCTGACTAATTTTATTTTCATCTCTTCACACTGCCACCACATGTGACACACCCTGTCCTGTAGCACTATGGGGCAAAAATACTCAATTCCTGGGAACAAGATATAGGGGCATTACTTCCACTTGCCAGTTACCTTTCTAAGATAGGTTCCCCCTACTTTTCATCAGAACACCCTACCCTCAGCCTGCCCAGTGCTGGCATTTTCTGTATCCACTGCTAGGCCTTAGCCTCTTTCCCACTAGTGAAACTCAATGGTAACTGCTGCTGCAAGATACTGCTCAAGCTAGCCTGGCAGCAACCACTTCCCTTGTTCTCTGTGCCCACAACAGAATGCTACAGAATCTTGAGCCAGATTCCAAGTTATGCTGGCTTCTCTGCTTACACAGCAGGAGACTCAAGGCAGCTGATTTAAACCCATGTTTCCCTAACTACAAAGATGAGACTGGGAGAAGTATTATTAGGAGCTAATAATGTACTGGAAGAGTTGATCTTGGCAATATGATGACACTACCCCACCTGCCCCTGGGGCTCAGCCCACCAGATCATGTGATATGCCAGAGTGGAAAACTACCATGTCCTCCCAGGCCTTTAAACAGACAGGAGTTTACAGTAATTTCCTGATCAGTGTGGCCCAGAACAAAACAAATAAGCACAGGAAAAATGTAGAACCAAGATGATTTCACAAGTTCAGGTTCTGTTCTAGTCTTAAATTTGCTCACTTATTGATTACTACAACAAAAAGAACCAAACTGCTGAAAATGCAACTTGTCACTATAACAGTTCTTAGTATTTTTCTC